ATTATTTTGATTAAATTGGATCCCTATATAGGATTGCAATTTAATTCAAAATCTCTAATCATGTGTATTTCTATAAATGTTTATATATCTACAATTATTATTACAGGTATATATCTAGAGGAACTGATTAAAGATTCACTCTTTGTGGGGTACCCCCCCCCCCCCCACCTCAACCCCGACACTGGGATGTTTTCATAATTTCATGAACACATCAATCGGATTATTATTTGATCACATGACACGTCACGTGAATCATGCCATGTGACACTCACCTTCTTCAGGGGTGAATTCGTGCTGTGGTTGTGGGTTGGCTGATGTGTAGAGAATCAATTGTGGTGAATCCAATGCGAATCTCAACGGCACTTCACTGGCGTCGTCCAGAATCCTCTGTCTGACCTCAGCTGCGGTCAGGTCCGGTTCGTTGCCCCAAATTATCGCTGCGACACCTGCAAAATAAGTCGGAATGTACGCACCAATAAATCACACAGGCTCAGCAAATTTGTTGACGGCCTTTGACAAACTATCTATATATCATAATGTCCTTAATTTTAGTTCGTTTGCCCAAAATAATTTACGAAAGATACAGCTGTAGTATCAATGTTTTGTATTCATAATTTGAATAATGGTACAGTACGCTCTATTTAAAGTGCGGTAGTCGTCGCGCTGTGCATATATGGGACTCATATAAACAAAGATGGCGACTTTGACTGTTGCGCAGATCAACGAGTACGAACTGACACGTTTCCAAGCTTTAATTAGGTAATTTTCATGTGATTGAAAGTATCGAAGGAGTCACCGGCGGTAATCAGTGCAAGTCGCGCCCAGGGCAAACCTCATACTTGTGATTTCCATTTGATGAGCGCACTGGATTGTGGGAAAATCAATGTTTATCAACACAAATGTCGAACATGCGCAGCGCGACGACTACCGTGCTTTAACAATGGTTTTCATAAATTAAAACAGGATATCATCCAATCATACTACTGTATTCATGGTACATTGGTTCAATATAATTCTCCATACCTGCTACGTGAGGGACACTAAAGGAAGTGCCAGCCCATCGCCGAATGATGTCGTCGTGTGTGTGGTAGGCGGCTTCACAATAACCGCCGGGTGCGAAGATATCAACACAAGGACCGTGATTTGAATAATGCACACGCTCATCCTGGAAATCGTCCCGTAACCCAGCAACACAAAGACCCTGGTTAGAAAAACATCAACATTATTGACAAACATACTCATCTTTTTACGCTTTTGCAAAATGTAGGCGGACTCAGGTGGACAAACAAATGCACAATGTTTGTGTAAATAATTTGTTTATTTTGCGTTAATATAATTTGTTTAGTTTGTGTTAATATATTCCGGACGACGATTTGTTTTGTTCCTCATTCGTTTTTACACCATGGAGTCGTCCTGAAAATGTGCATTTTACTGTTTATGCACTTTTTTTTTTAAACAATCCTTCAGCCTCCAGTTTTCAAAAGTGCTATTCCTAATATAAACGAATAAGGGAATATACGAATAGACATACATGTAAATAAAATATTCACAGAAACCCAAATGCACAACGGTTGTCAAGTTTCGGTAACCTCTAATAATTTGTTCTATATTGATACCCGAATATGGGCGCAATTTTCCTGACGTGAGGACACATGTTCGCATCCATCCACAAATGTTCTACTTGCAAAGTAACTAAGTAGAACATAAATTAAAGCGGGAGGGTCGTGACCTGCGCACGCGCGAGAATTGAGTTCCAAGCGACGATAACAACACACGCTAAAAACGCAAAGGCTCATGGGTAGACGCTTGTTTGTAAACAATGACACGCTATGGCTATCGGACGCATGCTCAGGTGACGTCTCCCCCGCTTTGAGTAAAAACTCTTGGAAAACGTTGTACGTTGAGCTTGACTGTTGCGTAGATCAACGAGTACAAACTGAGAGGTTACCAAGACAAACTGAGAGGTTGCCAAGCTTCAATTAGGTGTTTGGAAGGTGTCGAAAGAGTCGCCGATGGTAATTAATGCAAGTGGTGCCAAAGGGCAAAACTCGTAACTCGTACTCGTGATTTAGTCAGTTAGGATGGATTATGGGAAAATCAATGTTTATCGCACATGCGCGGCGTGACGACCACCGCGGATGTTCCTATTATAATCACTGTGGGAATATGAGTGAAAACAATTCACGAGATAAAGAATCTCACCCCCGCTGATCTGCACGGCGATAGGAAGCATCCATTTCCCTGGTTGTTTCCAGCGGGCGCTATAGAGAGAAATCCTAATTTAAACAAGTTGTTTACTCCTAAATCGGTGACGTTTGATCTTGCGCCAAGGAACGGCATCTGTATGGGACCCTTCTTTCCATGCTCGGCGATGTAATCAAAACCTGAAGAGCAAGAGTAAAATACAAACAGAGTAAATATCAAACAAATCACATGCTAACATTTGTCACGTTTACATTTGTTGATAACTTTTGCAGTATTGACTACATAGCTTTATGTATCCTTTCAAATAGACAGTTCTAATAACGCATATGAGTGAAAGCGATGTCGATCATGTTGTTGGTTGTATAGTCCACGGTCAGCTGGCGCACACGTAATACCCCGGCTTAGTGTTCTATGTTCTTCGCGTAATTAGGTGTTCGTATGCAAGGGATTTTTCCACACAAAAACGACGAATTCGGCCGAATTTTGTTATCGGTTGGCTTAATATAACCCCAACGGACCGTATTTTTGTGAAAGATTGGTATTTTTGTCCTGATTTGTAGGAATCTGAAAAACGCGTTTCACAACTTGTCTCTTATTTAGTTTTATGCGTCATTCAAGATGGCGGCCCCCATATAGTAAATATCGCATTTATTTTATTATATCAGATGTGCGCTAGCTGACTGTGGTATAGTCGGGCGTCATTTGAACGACTGCAGAGTGGCTTACGTGTCACCATTCACGCCTGAGAAGCGCTCTGCCACTAGAGGGCGTGACCTTAAATCCATTTACGTCACGTGATGTTCGTGAACGTTGACAGCGAGTGTTTCAAGAACTGTGATGATGATTTCAGACAGCATATTATTTATCTTTGGCATAACTTAGCAATCATTAGACGAAACAACAGAAAACAATACATGTTTGCGCTGATTGCTAATGAACATCGTAATCCAATATGTTCAAGCGCGGTGGTCGTCGCGCAGCGCGTGTTCGAATTTCCAATGTATTTTACACGCGTTGCATACGTCGCTATGAGTCCCATATCGAACACGACGCGGCGCGATGACTATCGCCCTTTCATGAGGGGAGGCAAGGGGGGTAGCTGGTACGGTTTTACGGGAAATAAAAAGGGCTTTTTACAAATTACAAGGAATAAAAAGACGTTTTTACAGTTTACAGTGTTAAAAAAAGGAACATTGAATTGTCCGAAGAGCTCTCCGGCTCAAATTCACCGCCATTGCTGCGCCGTGTGTGGAGATGCACGCGCATATTACCCTCGTAATGCTCTTCATTCGGTTAGAGGGCCTTTTACGTCTTGACATTCAATTTTGTAGTGAATTGTGTCATCTAGTCGTTTTACAGTTTCTATAATGTAATTTCCCTGGATTATTCTTTACGATTTTTTTATTTGGATGTAAATTCTTGTACGTACCGAGAAAAATGACACATTTTTACAGTGTACGAAAAAAATATTTGATCGATTAAGTTGTACGTCTAGCCTGTGATTACAGAATTACGGAATTTATTTTTTCAATTTATGTAGTACGAACAAAAAAATATTGCAATTACGTTGAACGAAAATAACCCTTGCCCCCCCCCCTCTTTCATCTACGCGTGATTTAAGCCAGGAATTAATCAATTAAATCATTTCCGGTGCGATATACTTTCCGCTATTCTACTAAAACAATGCTTACCAACGACACTTGTACAACGCATTGAATAAAGTGTAGATAATATTGCGCACATGTCATTTTAAAAGTCGGAATATTTAGCAATGTCGTGTTAATTGATATTTTGGAACATCGGACGTAATTATCGCATTAAATGAAATAGAAGTATTATGTACCGGAAAATTTGGGACTACCTTCTTAACTTCGAACGTAAATGGCGCATTTACTTTATAAGATAAACATGAAAATATGCACATGATCATGACGTGTAGATTAAACATGTTGATAAACATCTGGACGAAGTATAGCCTGACGAGTTGCGTGAGGTGCGCCCTCCGCGGTGCTCCAAACACAACACACTTGGTGAGGTCTAACGCTGTTCGGCCGGCGAGGGCCTACTCACGCCTGCACGTCAGGCTAGACTAAATATTGTAGTGACAAATGCAAATATAACTACGCCGCACTGGCAACAATGGACATACTAACTAAATGTAAAAGAAAGAAATAATTTAAGTATAAATATATAACTGCAAGCACTCAATCGATAAGAAATAAAACATGTATGTGCCCGAAACGTCCGAGTCCGTGGCCGAAATTTCCTAGATTTGAGGCCAACTTAGCCCTTCGCCGTCGATGAATCAATATTCAATATTTGAAGTTGCCATGGTTTCCCGATGACATTGACACCATATTCTACCAGCAGAACATTCATTTTCCTAAACGTATTATATATGAGAATCCACTAAACTACTACATGTAGTATACCCAACGGCAAGTATATCGCGAAGAATACTAGTACATCAAAAATTCAAGAACTTCACTGCGCATGTGCAACAACTTCACCCGGAAGGTTTAGCGTAGGGAAGATATTTCGCGTGACACCCCCGGGTGACACCGGCTATCCAATGATTCCAATTGACCATCACAGTCACTTGGGGCTGAAAATCAATAAATACTATTTTTTTTTAAAGTTATCCGCTATACGCATATAAATTCATCTATATCGACTACTCACCGGCCATTATGTGTTTTGTTTGTGAGTAACCACCACATGTGAAAACACGCACGGCTAGTAGAGATACCTTCTTAGCAACACCATACTTCTTGCCTCCAGCGATGCCTGCGACTTGAGTACCGTGACCATGACAGTCAGGATGCTGTAGCGATGACAAAACGTGCAGACTTATATTAGCAATAATTATCAGTCAAGTCGTAGGCAGAAATGGCATCTCACTTCATATCAGTACACGCGTGTACATCGCGTAAACAAACAATGTATTTCACGCGCGTTGTATAAGTCGCTATGAGTGCCATATCGAACTTCAATCGTATTGTAAGAAAGTTGTGGTCTCACTGTCTGTGGCGCGTGAGAATTACCCAATTTCAATTTGATGGAAACGTACAATTTTCTATAAACCGCACTGTTTAAACAGGCCCGTATTTTTGAATAGGGGGTTCGAAAACAACTATAAATGATATATTTGATGTGAATTTTATAATATTCAAAAAGTGTGTTTGAGCTCTGTTACATACATTTTTATATTCTTTGGTTTACTTTGGTTTACTTTGTGTTACGTTGGTAAGTTATTCCACATAAGATTTTTGAACTATTTTACCATTTTAGAGAAGGGGTCCTAGGCCATTTCCCACCCACAGACAAACACACCCACACCCTTGATCCATTACGGCAAAATGTCGTACACCAAAAAGACAAGACTGTACGTATCTTAGCATTATTGTCCAAAAATTTTGAAGGTAGAATGCTACTCACGAGCTTTTTCGCTCTTCACAGATGTTAGCGCACATAAAAGTGACACAATTTCATGTCGAAATCTGTCTACAATTATTCATTTTAGTATTAGTCAATTATGTAATTTTATTTCTGTACAGAGCCTCACCACACCGTACAAAATGTAATGGGTAGAAAGTGCATATCACGTTTTAAAACATAC